TGCAACTATTGCTTTGATGTAGCGTGCTTACTGGGTAAATAGGTCCCGTCATCAGCATTACAATTCAGTAGGGCCCTAACTACTAAGACCGACCAAACGCCATATGTGGGGGCAGAATATCTGCTACTCACAAATGATATCCTTTCATCAGCTATATATTTCATCATATATATATATATATATATATATATATATATATATATATATATATATATATATATATATATAAGCTGAATTACAAAGTTAAAACTATTTATTTGAAGTATATAAATGAGTTTTAGACCTTTAGCCAGAATTAAAATTAAAATCTGAATTATTTTCGATATACAAAGAAAAAATTTTTGAAAAAAAAAATTGAAATATTTTTCTTTCCTAAAAGTAATTGTTTTGTAAACACAAACAGCAAGTTTTTTTAATCATTCAAATCGGATGCTTAGTTTTCAAAAACTGCCATTTTTGTACATTTAGCTCTGTATCTTCGAAATGGCTGGATCGGTCTTTGCTAAAACCTAATCACTACTTCTCCCAATCATTACAGATTGAATGTATTTTGGATCATTCAAATGGGATACTCCGTTCTCTCAAAAACCAGATTTCTATTTTCTGCACTCTTTACTCCGTATCTTCGTAACGGCTGGATCTGCCTTTGCCAAATACTAATCAGCATATCTCCCTATTAATAGGAACTGAATGTTTAATAAACCATTCAAATCGGTTCATCCGTGTTCCCGAAAACGTGAACGAAAAAATGCGGACACACAAAGGACACACACACATCCATTTTTTCTGAGGTATGGCAAAATTTTCAAAAACCTCTGAAACATGAAGAAATGCAACAATTTTCATTTTTGATTTTCGGCCCGTTACTATACTTACCCTACTAGCCCGAGAGCCAGTAACAGATTTATATGACCAAGTTCCTCTCAAGTGATAATTATCACCAATTATAATTGGTAAAACGCATCAGAAAATCGAACTATAAAGGCTCGTGAATGTCAGCTGAGGCTCGGTGGGGGGGACGAGCAGTTGTAACCTCACACACTTGAAGAAAAAAAAAAAAACACTCATTTCCTCTCGGCTAAAAGTTTATCAAGTTATAGCTAACCCAATACCTCAACAAAAAAAAGTCAGCTGGTTATAACATAGTGCATTGTACGTCAGCTGATGGCTAGATCATGGAAAAAAAAATCTTCACTTTTAGTGATATCCTCTCGGTTAAAAATTTACCAGATGATAGCTTATATGTAACAATTGATAAATATATACGTCAGCTGGCTGTATCTCGGTGGAAAAATCGTCAGCTGATACTTTGAAGGTCGTTACGTAGAAGTTAGCCAGAAGCATTTATTGACTATTTAAAGGCATCAGCTGACCAGGTTTCCCTCGACTTATTGCTAGCTGATTTTTTTTATTCATCACAGTATTATATTTAAAATCAGCTCACAAATTTTCGTGTGGGAGGAAATGACGTCTCTTTAATTATTCGGCATAGCACTCCAATATGAGTGTTGAGATGAAACAAATATTCTATATCAATATTTTTTAGACTTATAAGTATATAATCATATAATTTTAGATATATTCCAATATTTCAATAATCAATTTGCTTAGTATAAATTAACTAGTTACTTGATAAAAAATATTTATTATAAAAAAATTATGACAAATTACAATTCGAATGACAATGTTATTTGATCATTTTCGGCTTCGCTTTGGCTTGAGTCACAACTATCTCTCTCTGATTCATTGTCCGAGTCACTGTCAGAGCTGTCTGCTGTTATATTTTCATTGTCATCATCTGAAAAAAAAAATAGAATGCGTATTTTAGCATAATATCATTAATATGATAATAAAATGTTACCTTTTTCGGGCTGGATAGTTATTTCATCAATCGATGTTGGTAACTGACTTCCAAAGAACCAGGTAAAATCATATTTATTGTCAATTTCTTCCCAACCATAGTCTTCCGAATCATCAGAAGTTGGAACCTTCAAGTGTGCATTTGACCAAATTTGAGCAATATAGCATGCTCTTAAAAATTGCTGATATAGCTCTGACTCGCAAGGTGGTAGAGAAGAGCCATCAATACCTTTCTTTGGTAACTTGAATGTCTCCGTATCCAAGAATTTATATGTTTTTTCAAACAACACTACTCTTGCCTCATTGACCTTTTTCAGACGATTTAATCCATACATATGGCAAACAAACTCTTGAATTTTCTCAAAAATTTTTGTCCCTATTCTCTAATGATTTTGACATTTGGATGAAACACTCGATGAAATCATTCGATTTAGCCATTATTGAAAATGGTCGTTTTTTTCCTTTTCGAAAAAAGGCCGGGTTAAAATCACACCCTGTGAATGCGTGAAATGCCGGAAGTGCTGCGCTCAAATCAGATCCCAAAGATTCGTATAATTGACTAACATTTATAAATCTTTGGGCTTCTCCAACTCCAACTTCCATGCAAATGTTGATATTTTCTGATATATTAGCCATGTTAGCTAACATAATTATTAACACGTCAGTGTCGGAACAACGAATCGTCACGTTTGCATTAATATCAATGTTGCAGACATGGAAAATCATTTTTGTGTCTGCTTCTTCGTGAGCCGGGCACAAAGATCCTCTATCGATATTGTTATATTTTTAAATAATTCCCATCACTATTTATTTATCGATATTTTGCACTTTTTGTACGTACGAGGTCGAAAAGAACTCGTATTTTTTTTCCGTCTGGTGCATTACGAGATGTATAGGACCTCGTAATTTTCTAGTGGACATATCTTTATAGGTATTCTTGCTAAATTCGGGCAACTCGATATGGTAGAAAATACATTCATTCTGCATCTATACGTAAAAAAAATATAATTTCGATCCATTTACGTAAAAATATTTAGATCTAAAGCAAACAAGTCGTACGAGGTCTATAGAGCCTCGTTGCGTGATTATGGAAGAAGCATTACGAGTACATTTCGGCCTCGTAATGCCATATAGTGCAGTAAACGGAGAGGAAAAAAGGGTATAACCTCTGAATTTTTTTACTGTGCTCCGAATTGAATGAAATTTTGGGATTAGATTCATCTTACCCTCAAGTTCAAAAGTGAAAACAATTCGGGTTGCGCCATCACCCCCCGGGGGGATGACACCCCTTCTCAATTGTGTAATTACATTTTTTCAAAATAACTAATTTTTACAAACTATTTTCAGAAAAACACACGATTTTATAAAAACTTTTTTCTCCAATTTTTTTAAAGATCGAAATTGTTTTCATTATATCTCAAAAAGAATAAAAGATACGTATGAAAACATATAGATAAAAATCAAAGGGATCTTTCTGGCTTATTATTGTTTTTTATTATTTTTCTTTCACACAAAAATTGACAGAGTTATCAATGTTTAAAGACTGCCGCGCAAATTGGAAAAAAAGTTTTTATAAAATCGTGAGTTTTCTGAAAATAGTTTGTACTAAAGTAGTGAATCTGCTAGAATCCATCAAGATGTCTATAATGAAGTGAATTCTAGATGAAATGTGAATTACTTTAATTCTGGTTGAAATGGCGCTCATTCGTATATGCTTCTTATTTGCTTCTTATTTGCTCACTCATTTTACACGTAAAAAACTTGTAACAGCACTCATTTTAAAGCTTATGTTGAGCACTATAAAACCCAACTTCACCGAAATGCATAAAATGTAAAACCTCGACGCTAGATGGCTTTAAATACAACAATTAAATCTTGAACGAAATAAAAAACAACTTTGCTCTTTCAAATTTTGCTTAATATTTTTCCTAGAACACTTTATGTAAGACCGATTTATTAAGATTTTTATTGACATTATTTTGTTCATTACATGATTTTTGTTAAAATGTATGTTTTAGGAGATATTTGCAAAAAAACGAAGAAAAACGCTAAAAATATATGAATCTTTAGTGACCAGTAGCTTGAAAAGTATTAGTTTTTTTTTGAAAAACTATAAAAGACATTTTTTTCTTATAATTAGTTCTATCGATTTCCGACGTTATTTTGAAAAAATGTAATTACACAATTGAAAAGGGGTGTCATCCCCCCGGGGGGTGATGGCGCAACCCGAATTGTTTTCACTTTTCAACTTGAGGGTAAGATGAACCTAATTCCAAAATTTCATTCAATTCGGAGCACAGTAAAAAAAATTCAGACCTAAAACGCTCCGTTTACTGCACTAATACGCACTAGTAGTGAAAAAAATTTTACGCAGTGAACGTGTTAAAGAGGCGTCATTTCCTCCCACACGAAAATTTGTGAGTTGATTTTAAATATAATACTGTGATGAATAAAAAAAATCAGATAGCAATAAGTCGAGGGAAACCTGGTCAGCTGGTGCCTTTAAATAGTCAATAAATGCTTCTGGCTAACTTCTACGTAACGACCTTCAAAGTATCAGCTGACGATTTTTCCACCGAGATACAGCCAGCTGACGTATATATTTAACAATTGTTACATATAAGCTATCACCTGGTAAATTTTTAACCGAGAGGATATCACTGAAAGTGAAGATTTTTTTCCCATGATCTAGCCATCAATGTTTTTACAATTGTGTACAATGCACTATGTTATAACCAGCTGACTTTTTTTTTGCTGAGGTATTGGGTTAGCTATAACTTGATAAACTTTTAGCCGAGAAGAAATGAGTGAATTTTTTTTTCTTCAAGCGTGGGGGGTTACAATTACTTATCCCCCCCACTGTGCCGCAGCTGACGGTCATAGGGCTTTATGATACTGTTGTCTGAAGCGTATCGCCAATTATCTATCGAGAAGAAATAATTAACCAAATTTGCACCTGGCTCTTGGACTATAGGGGAAGTTAACAATAATGCCACAAGTGACAATACACACGCACACATATAATGCAAGGTTGGATTACGATTTGGAGAAATGGTGTTGCTTCATCTTTGACACAATTTTCTTCAAAATTGGGACTTTAACACGTCAGAACAATTTTAATACAATCTTCGGCGTTCAATCTATTTCTTCATAGCTTCTTCAATCCAGATAGCTTCATTGCTACTGACGTATCGACCCATTTGATATCCAGTTATTTCATCATTCTCATTAATACTTTTAATTGCAAATATCGCTTTGTTGCTCCCTGTATGAACATATTTGCATATGTATTTTATCGACTTCACCGAGCTGCACAATTCGACATTTATATGTGCTTTATAGGTTTTGCATAGCAAAGGCGAATAAGGAACTACCCATCGATTATCAACATCTATTAACCCGCCATTCGTCAGTCGCAATTCAAAACATTGTCTACCATTGTCAACGTCACGTCGCCGATAAGCAGGGTAACCATCAATGTCGGTGATAGTATCGTTTTGAAATGATTTTGGAAAATGTTTTGTGCATTTTCCATTGTCCATGCATGGTGACATAATGCTGAGAGTACCGCATGGACCATGTATCATGTTAGTAGTTATAATATCGAACAATTCCTCATCAACATTTTTATCAGGAATTTCTGCTGAGATAATATCGTCAATCTCTACAGAACGTACCTTATCAATTAACCACAACACAATATGTGCATGGGTAAACCTCTTTCCTGCCAATCTACTATAAAATTTATCAATGATTTCAACTTCTGTTTAAAAACTCGTGCAGTTATATCGTGCCTATCCATCGTTGTTTGTCCCGGCATCAGCAATTTTTTTATTTTATCCCATTTGGGATTGCACGTAAAGGTAATGAACAGATTAGGTCTGTCATATGCACGAACATAAGCCATAGCATCTTGAATGTACTCCTGCATATGTCGCGGATAAGAAGATGGAAGAATATATGCAGTACCAATATGACTAATATTATTAATTGCATCTACATTACCGAGTACTGCATCACGTAAATGTATATATTCCTCAGTACGGAGTTTGGTTTGATTAAACTTTATGAATCTCAATCTCTCACTCTCAATTTTCACATATGCTCTCTGCATTTAAGAATGTTATTTTCTTCATTAGCTCCAATCATTGATCGGTAGTAAAAGCCCATAGTACTTACTTTTTTGGCACTGGGATAAAATAAAATATATTAAAATTATTTTAATTATTATTTGATTTTTTTTTATAAAAATAAGATTTTTACCTGTATTTGGATCCCTCTGTTTAATATTTAAATGGTACCCATCTTCATCTTTCCAAAATATCAATGGATACTGCAAAGCATAATAACAACGATGACCGTCCTGTATTATCTACATGGTATTATCTCCCCATTGTATTTCTAAACTATTCTCAATAAGGAATTCATTAATAATACTATATATGTTCTCAGAACTAATTATAAGTAATTGCCGGAAAATCGATTTTTACTTTTTGAAGCTTCTTGTAAAATTTTTCTCTTGTAGACTGATATCGAGGACATCCAAAAAAGATGTGGTTAAGGGATTCTTCTTCATATCCACATGTACATGTCGGGGAATTGATCATCTTAATTTTGTTTAGGTGCTTTCCAAATCTCCAGTGACCTAGTCGGATCCCACATATATTTGTAATGTATTTTCTATTTTGTTTTATTTTTTTAAACCAAGGTTGCGTAGATACTTTCGGGTTTATTGATCCATAATTGTCCTTTTTTCTCTAGAGCCTTTATTACTAGAGACGCATGTTATATTATTTGCGTCTTATATCATTTTAATTTTTGGCACTTCTCAGCTGCTTTTCGACAATAATAATGTAGACATTACATTTTCTTTATTTATAATCATGAATTTATTATATTTTAATTGCCTTAGCCTATAAGTGGCAAATGAAGTTGTCATTTGTTTTTAATGTCAAACCATGCCTTAAATATTTTCAAGGTCAAACAATGATAAGCGGTTTTTTGTATTTTTTTCCATTTCTACAATCTAACGATATTTCTATGAATCTAAAAATTCTAAAAAATTTCCCGAACAAACTTCAAGTAGATTCATGAAAATTCGAATTATAGTTTAGGAGGATTAACCATTCATATAAACTTACAGAAGAATTTTATATATATATATATATATATATATATATATATATATATTGAATGGTAGAGTCTTGGATTTGTGTATATTTTGTAGAGTTTCGAACAAGAATCCAAAAATAATACAAAATATAAAACAAGAAAAGTTTTTAAAAAAAACAATTTCTTTATTTAATTATTTGTTTATTGTCGACGTTTCGGAACTAGGTACGTTCCATCTTCAGGACATCTGTCAAGAAACATGATCTTGATGAGATTTTAGCAAACAATATGTTTAGGAAAAGAAAATAGATTTTTCTTAAATAATGAATTAAATTGTAAAAAATATAATAATGTACAGAAATATGATAATATGTTCAAAATAAAAATGATAAAAATAAATGAGTGGATTATCAGAACAGGATATTAAACATAATAGAAAATTTTTTGAAAGTTATGGAAATTTTTTAAGAAAAGGTTAATGACAAAGTTGAATTAATTACCTGTATGTTTGAATATTTGTTAGCACTTTTTCACTAAACAAGCTTTTTTAACAAAAATGATTTTGTGAGTTAATTTTCCGCCGAATAATTAGATTTTGTAAATCAAAATTACTAAAAAATTTTGTCTTTTTTAAAATTATTATTTGAAAACACAAATAATATTGTTCTCTGGATGTTGTTCGATTGGTTTACGAAAATTAACTAAATGAAACTGGTGTGCCCTTTGTAACACGTGTAAACACTTGAACGAGAGATGTGAGATTGTATGTGTGTGTTTTTATATGTCAGGGTGTGAATACTTAAATTGTTGATCTTAAAGGGAAGTCGATATTAATTGTTTGTCAAAAAGTGTAAAAAATTTAAATATGAATCATGTAATAGGTTGTGATCTGATCTAATGTTGACACTGTTAGAAACGTTTATGAGGATGAGACAACTCTCCGCGAATAACCTTCTAAAGATGCAACTTTCGTGATATAAAATCTTTGGAGTGAAATTAAATGAATGGGCGTTTTCTATAGAGTGTTGTACTAGGGTACTTTTGAAATTTTTTTGTTTATGGTGGACCACACTTAGTTCATGTTGTCTCATTCTCTTGTGTACATATTGGGAGGTTTGTCCAATATATTGAAAAGCACAGTCATTACAAGAAACAGAATATACTACATTAGTATTGAGATTGGATGGGGTGGGGGATTTAATGTTCGTAAAGAATTGGTTGAAGGAGTGTAAGGATGAGCCTGATACTAAAATGTTTTCTTCTAACAAAATTTTGGCAAAATAATAATATAAATCTTCAACGTATGGTATGCTGCAGTAAATAAGATTGGTGTTTTTTATGTTAGTACTGGTATTGGGAGAATTAATTTGTGTTTTTAAGAAAGTTCGTCTTTTTTGAATAACTGAATGAATGAGATTTTTTGGGTAGCCATTTTCAATTAGAGTTATTTTTACTAGGGATAAATTTTGTGGATGGAAAGTTTGGTGAGACAACAAAATAGCATGGTCTGTAAGGGAAATAATAGTGTTTATCTTATAGTTTCTGGGACAGTATGAGGAATAGTGTAAGTATCTACCCGACCATGTCGTTTTTCTATACCAATTTGTTCGAACAAAGTTATTAGTGTTGTAAACGGATACATCCAAGAAATTAAGTCTGTTGTTATTTTGTAGTTCATGTGTGAAAATTATATTATTGTTAAAATTATTGAAGAGATCTAGTACTGTGTTTATATGATTTTTGTTAATGATAAAAAAAGTGTCATCTACATATCTAATATAAAAGTTAATTTGAAATTTTAAAGTTGAGAAAACGGAAATTTCTAGTGTTTGTAAAACTAAGTCGATGATTCCGGGAGATAAGGGACATCCCATAGCTGCGCCTTTAATTTGAGAATAAAAGTTGTCTTGGCAATGGAAATAGGAGTAATTTAAAATAGTGTTGATAATATGAGTGAAGACTGTTTTCGGAAAGTCAGTAAAGTTACAAATTGTGTGCCAACGTTTATCGATTGAGTTTAGGATTAATTCATGTGGGACACATGTAAAAAGGTTGACCACATCTAAGCTTAGAAATAAGTGATTTTCAGGGATGTTGCGGTTATTAATTAAATTCACAAATTGGTACGAATTCTTAACATAATAGGGAGAATTGATTGTAACATTTTTTAGGACATCAGAAATGAGTTTCGAAATATTGTAAAAAGGAGAGCCAATGTAGGAGACAATCGGTCTGAAAGAGCATTCAGGTTTGTGTATTTTTGGAAGACAGTACATCTTAGGGGAGATAGGGTGTTGTATTTTTAGGTTAAAAGCAAAATTCTCAGAAATTAGTTTTTTGTTTTGAACAAAGACCTCTTAAATCAATTTTTAGCTTTTGAAAACTATAAATTTAACAAACATTTTAATACTACTAAAGAAAAACATATTAAAAAAACTAAAACTTTAATTCAAAAAAGAGATGACAACTATCCCTTCAAAATCTCTAAATCTTGTACAGATAAGTGGTTAGTTAATAAAACTGATATTTACATTCCAGAAAATGTTAAATATATTCTAGCATTAGGTCCAAAATTTGCATACTCTCCTCAGAAATACAGTAAAACAGATTTCATAAAAATTCTAAGTAATATTGAATACAACATTAGAAACATTGAAACAAACAAACAGAATAACATTAGATCAAAACTATGTGACAGACTGGTAAAACATATAAAGAAAGTAAATAATAAATTTCAAAACTTTCATTTAAAGAAACTCCACAAAGACATTTTAGAAACTAAAGCTTTCATTAAATCTAATAATATTATAGTTTGCCCAGCAGATAAGGGTAATATCACAGTCATTCTTGACAAAGAATTTTACAACAATTCCGTCCTTAACCTACTTAAAGATGATACAACATATAATATTTTAACAGAAGATCCCACACAACGTTTTTCTAGAATAGCTTTTAAATTAATCAATGATCTGAAAAACAAAAACTAATTTCTGAGAATTTTGCTTTTAACCTAAAAATACAACACCCTATCTCCCCTAAGATGTACTGTCTTCCAAAAATACACAAACCTGAATGCTCTTTCAGACCGATTGTCTCCTACATTGGCTCTCCTTTTTACAATATTTCGAAACTCATTTCTGATGTCCTAAAAAATGTTACAATCAATTCTCCCTATTATGTTAAGAATTCGTACCAATTTGTGAATTTAATTAATAACCGCAACATCCCTGAAAATCACTTATTTCTAAGCTTAGATGTGGTCAACCTTTTTACATGTGTCCCACATGAATTAATCCTAAACTCAATCGATAAACGTTGGCACACAATTTGTAACTTTACTGACTTTCCGAAAACAGTCTTCACTCATATTATCAACACTATTTTAAATTACTCCTATTTCCATTGCCAAGACAACTTTTATTCTCAAATTAAAGGCGCAGCTATGGGATGTCCCTTATCTCCCGGAATCATCGACTTAGTTTTACAAACACTAGAAATTTCCGTTTTCTCAACTTTAAAATTTCAAATTAACTTTTATATTAGATATGTAGATGACACTTTTTTTATCATTAACAAAAATCATATAAACACAGTACTAGATCTCTTCAATAATTTTAACAATAATATAATTTTCACACATGAACTACAAAATAACAACAGACTTAATTTCTTGGATGTATCCGTTTACAACACTAATAACTTTGTTCGAACAAATTGGTATAGAAAAACGACATGGTCGGGTAGATACTTACACTATTCCTCATACTGTCCCAGAAACTATAAGATAAACACTATTATTTCCCTTACAGACCATGCTATTTTGTTGTCTCACCAAACTTTCCATCCACAAAATTTATCCCTAGTAAAAATAACTCTAATTGAAAATGGCTACCCAAAAAATCTCATTCATTCAGTTATTCAAAAAAGACGAACTTTCTTAAAAACACAAATTAATTCTCCCAATACCAGTACTAACATAAAAAACACCAATCTTATTTACTGCAGCATACCATACGTTGAAGATTTATATTATTATTTTGCCAAAATTTTGTTAGAAGAAAACATTTTAGTATCAGGCTCATCCTTACACTCCTTCAACCAATTCTTTACGAACATTAAATCCCCCACCCCATCCAATCTCAATACTAATGTAGTATATTCTGTTTCTTGTAATGACTGTGCTTTTCAATATATTGGACAAACCTCCCAATATGTACACAAGAGAATGAGACAACATGAACTAAGTGTGGTCCACCATAAAAAAAAAATTTCAAAAGTACCCTAGTACAACACTCTATAGAAAACGCCCATTCATTTAATTTCACTCCAAAGATTTTATATCACGAAAGTTGCATCTTTAGAAGGTTATTCGCGGAGAGTTGTCTCATCCTCATAAACGTTTCTAACAGTGTCAACATTAGATCAGATCACAACCTATTACATGATTCATATTTAAATTTTTTACACTTTTTGACAAACAATTAATATCGACTTCCCTTTAAGATCAACAATTTAAGTATTCACACCCTGACATATAAAAACACACACATACAATCTCACATCTCTCGTTCAAGTGTTTACACGTGTTACAAAGGGCACACCAGTTTCATTTAGTTAATTTTCGTAAACCAATCGAACAACATCCAGAGAACAATATTATTTGTGTTTTCAAATAATAATTTTAAAAAAGACAAAATTTTTTAGTAATTTTGATTTACAAAATCTAATTATTCGGCGGAAAATTAACTCACAAAATCATTTTTGTTAAAAAAGCTTGTTTAGTGAAAAAGTGCTAACAAATATTCAAACATACAGGTAATTAATTCAACTTTGTCATTAACCTTTTCTTAAAAAATTTCCATAACTTTCAAAAAAATTTTCTATTATGTTTAATATCCTGTTCTGATAATCCACTCATTTATTTTTATCATTTTTATTTTGAACATATTATCATATTTCTGTACATTATTATATTTTTTACAATTTAATTCATTATTTAAGAAAAATCTATTTTCTTTTCCTAAACATATTGTTTGCTAAAATCTCATCAAGATCATGTTTCTTGACAGATGTCCTGAAGATGGAACGTACCTAGTTCCGAAACGTCGACAATAAACAAATAATTAAATAAAGAAATTGTTTTTTTTAAAAACTTTTCTTGTTTTATATTTTGTATTATTTTTGGATTCTTGTTCGAAACTCTACAAAATATATATATATATATATATATATATATATATATATATATATATATATATATATATATACATATCATCATTATCCTTGCGGAATCTAGCTCTATCCATGAGACAATTCTTCTCTAAGTATGGGTCTCCAGTGAATCCTATAAATACCAAGCAAAATATGAAGTCAGCATTTCCATTAAAAATAAATTCATTTATTCATATATTTGTAATACTAACGTGGCATATTTAGAGTCGGCAGGGCGTTAACTTTTAGACTTGTCTTTGAATTTGTTGACAAATATTCCACTTTGCAAATATTTGTGAAATGCGCGTCACAAATATGTCGATTTTCACCACAAACCAAAGGGGTTACCTCATCCAATAAAGGATTGTTTGTCCTCTGCACCCAAACTGAAAACATCTAGAACATTTTCATAGTATTTTCATCATATTCATATTCATTATACAAACATAATACATCATTATATACATACTTGATCATTAGATGCCGGAAAGACATGCATCTTTTTATTATTTGTGGTGTTAACACAATTTGCTACGTTACACTTCACCATTTTAACTTAATAATAAGTAAAAAAATAATTACCAAAACAAGTATGACCACAACGTATAACAGATAAACAAATATAATAAAACTACAAGAAGCTATCACAACTTAGACATAAAATGGCGATCAAATGCATGATTTTCCGATGGGTTTTTCCCACAAGAAACGACGATTAGCAGTGCAGCCATGCTCATTTATATATGAGTGCAGCCATCTATTTTTCTTTCCGATGTATCAAATTGTTAATAGTGGCGCCGTTCTTCGATCAATTCGAATATTAAGCCATTTCAAAACAGGGTTCTCTACATTTGTTCGGAGATTACCGGCCATGCTAGTAATATAAAGTTATATGTAAATCTTAGAGTACTAGTGCGAAGGTTGAAATTGCTTTGCGTTGAGTTAAGTGTCGCAAGTTTCACAATATTAGGTTCAGCTTCACTCAACAAGCATCTCATCATATCATGCTCAATGTTCATACGATTTCTGGCTTTTGTTTTTAATATAAGAAAAGTTGAGAAACTGAGTCAAGTGGAATCAAGATCTTTAAAGTTCTGTCAGCTATGATGGGATATTCTGCAGCTGCTTTTCGCCAAAATGTGCAGAGTTTATCATTTTGAAAATCAACTTTTAATAAGTTATTTTCACGCAGCCCGAGACACATGCTGACACATCTTCGTCCTTGAATATATCGACGCAAGTAGAAAATGGTCTTAAAATCCAGGAGTAGCACTCACGAATGTCCATGTCGGGAAAATATTGCTGCAGTGAGTCTATCACGGCAGTTAAGTGTTACACCACAGAATTTTCAAATGTGATTTTGTCTCGTTTATTATTTAGTAATTGTTCACTTAGTCGTGTAAACATCGACACATCACCAGCTTGAACTCTGCGTTGGTAAAATTCCAATTTGCATAAAAAACTTGCGATTTTATCCTGCAGCATCAAAATATTTGTTTCATTTCCTTGCAGTGAAATATTCAGATTATTAATTTCAGTAAAAAATCAGCAAGGTACGCTATTTTTAGAACAAATATATGGTGTTTAATTTTTGCATAATATTCTTTTCCTTTTTGTGTTCTCTGGTTTTCAAAAAACAATCCAATTTCTTCTCGTAATTCATAGACCCTACTTAGAACGTTGTCTCTTGATAACCAACGTATCTCTGTATGGTACAAAAGTGCGTTAAATGTAGCACCAACTTCATCGCACAAAACTTTAAATAATCTTGAGTTAGTAGCGCTGCCTCGAATATGATTAACAATTTTTACTATATCACTCAACGTGTTTAGCAAATCTGGTGGGAGTGTTTTTACAGCCAAAGCGTAACGTTGTCTCAAACAATGATAGTTGAAAACTTGAGGAGCAACTTGTTTCACAAGTGACTGAAAACCAGAACGGATGCCCATCATGGAAGGTGCCCCGTCTGTACAAATACCAACCAGCTTTAACCAGTCCAGGCCATTTTCCTCAATAAACTCTTTTAGCGTTTGAAATACGTCTTCGCCGCGGGTAGTAGTGGGCAAAGACTTGCAGAACAAATATTCCTCCTTTACATCATCATTTTTTATGTATCATGCGAACATTAATAACTGTGAACACGAAGCAACATCTGTGGACTCGTCCAACTGCAGTGCAAACATAGGACTTTCCTTTATTTCAGCAATAACGGTTGCTAAAATATCGGCACTCATTTCACATATATGCGTCTTTGAATGGTATTGTTTGAGAGTGATATTTGTTTAATCTTAGCTACATGTTGCTCATCTATAACAAGTGTTGCCGCATCTAATAAGCAAGGTTTGATGAGGTTCTCTCCTTTAGTGTGTGGCTTTTTATTACGTGCGATGCTATAAGCAATTTTGCTACTGCTAGTCCCCATACATTTCTCAAGTAAAAAAGTGTCAAAAGATGTTCTATGGTATGAGGGCATACGAGGGTAATTTCGCGGCCGAGATATGTCAAACTCGATCGCTTGAACGTCAAATGAAAGTCCGTGTGTTCGAAATTGTTGGGAAAATATTATATAATATACAATTTATGTTAAACTAATGAATGTAATGAACTATATATATATATATATAGTTCAGTGAATTTTATAATATATATATATATATATATATATATATATATATATATATATATTTATTTTAGTTATACAAAGTGTTAAAGGAAAATAAGAAAAAAAATTAAAAAAATATTTTACATATTATAAAATTCACTGAAAATAAGAACAGTTGGCTAGAGCTATTATGGAAAATTAGAAAGCAATAATGAAATATTTGTTTAAATGTAATATATTTATTATTGGTGTTTAAAAAGCACAATTTTTGTGTGAAAGTGGCGTACATATTTATCAACTTTGTTTTTTTTATGTTCTTCATGGTGCATTCTAATTGTTAAATACATTTTTGCGACAAAGTTGATATGGTCATGATAGTGCTGGACAAATTGCTGGAAATGGCTTGATCTAAAAAAATGTGCAAGTCGCAAGTCATTCAACTTTCGGAGAATCGTGCTTTCATATGAACTTTTGTACATTAAATTTAAAGAATTTCGAATTAGGGTTTCTATATATAAATATAATTTAAACATTTCATCGGAAGGATATGAAAGATATCCTCGATTTTTTATATCGATGAATGTCGAATTTCCTGGAATACTTGCGAAGCATTCGGAACAGGTTTTACTGCAATCAGGAACTTTACCACAGACCAAACACATTTTAGAAGACATTTTACTTTTAACAATTTTACAACAGGTATATTTTTATCCTCTTTTAGTTTAAAAACCCGAGCGATCAAACATCACGTGAACCCAAGTAACTGTAAAATTTAAGCGATGAGTGCATTCGACTAATCTCGGTAAAGCTCGAGTTCGTATTTGACATATCTCGGCCGTAAAATTACCCTCGTATGCCCTCATACCATAGAACATCTTTTGACACTTTTTATGCGCTTAACTAGCCGTCCATGTATTGTATAAGGTCTATGACTTTATTACATAAAACACACTGAGGCTTTTCTATATTTTTGTCTGTGATGCTTGTGAAACTCCATTGTAGAAATGCTACTTTATAAGTGCGCTTTTTGCCAGATGGAGTAGAAGCCATGTCAAAAACACTTGTAGGTACCCAAAACAAAAGTTAACTAATAAGATACCTACGAAAACGAGTCACTCGTGACAATATAAACGTGACGATATTAACAAATACTACTTACCTTTGAATTTAAACAATACGATGTAATGCGCGGCGGAATGTAATATTGCTACAATACAAGTGATAAGTGAATAGGTATTCGATCATGGGTCTAAGTTAAGTTATATACCCTAACCTTAATCACTTGGATGTTTTCTATTGGCCATTACCACCATTCCTATGGTGGTCAATTGCAGGGTCTCTACAGTCTTATAGATCATACTGAAATATTAGGGTCCTACGGCAAGTCGTTTAATTTAAAAAAATCGACGAAAAGTTTGCAAAAATTAGTGTAATTTTTTTGGCTTTTGTCAAAATTATGACTTTCCTCGACGCTTGCTCAAAAACGCCCGAACCAATGTCAAAAATTTAAAAGCCAATCAAAGTATTTTAATGTGGATTATCTTTTCTTAGTTTTGTGCAGCAATCGGCCGAGCCATTTCTTTGTAATTTGGAAAAAAATGTTAAACTTTTCGTCTATATTTAAGCTCATACTACCGAATCGATTTTAAAAAATCAAAAAATTTTTAAAAGATATTATTTGGGAATAATACGGATTAGTTTTAGTTGGTGCTACATTTAGTTTTAGGTGAAAATCTATCGAACCGTTTTCTTGTAATTAATTGTTGCAGAAAAATTAAAATCGAATTTTATGGAATTTTTTTGGCGATATATATCATGGTCTTATAGAACTTACTGAAATAATACGGCCTTACGACAAGTAGTTTAATTTTAAAAATTCATCAAAGTTGGAGAAAATGAGTAGTTTTTTTGACGTTTGTTATAATTAAAATTAGACGATTTACTTTTTTATTTATTAAATGACATTTATACAGTTATAAATCTTATATATTATATACAACAAATACAATTTTTTTTAACTAAAATATGTCATCCAGATCGACGTTTGGTTGGTCAGCATCACTGGTATTAGTATCAATAGAGTGGCTTTCACTATTGCTTGTGGAAGTAGCATATAAAGATTTCTTCATTTTACAAAATTCATCTTTAGATGGTTCGTAACCAACGCAATTATGGTTGATTCGCTGACTACTTAACAATAGCCCGTTAAGTGTATTAGTTACCAATTTGTTGCGTGTTTGGCATTTTATTAATCCAATCTTGCTAAATATTCGCTCACATTCGGCATTAGCATGAGGTAATGACATAACATTTAAGAAAAATTTAGCTAAGTTTTCAAAACTCCAAACCTCTTCCTTATCTTTGTAAATTAAAATTTTACTAATGTCATCCGGCAATTCAAAATAATGGAATCTTCGCCATTCATTATCAATAATTTGACTTTGACTTGGGTTTAATAATCGGGGCAGTTTACTCAATAATGGTAGCAAACTTGGCGTAGTGATTACTGTTTTACCATTCATTGCGTCCGCAGGATCCTTTACTGATAAATTTTTCAATATAGTATCATTGAAATCGAATCGTTTTTTTATTTCTTCACATCTTCGAATTATAAACTTCCTGAATTTTGCAAGAAAATGCAATTTTTCTTGTAAACGAGGATGTTTTGAAAAGTTGCTTGGTTAAAATATTTAAAAACTTCTACTCCAACATAAATATTTTGAATATTCTGATCCGATGGTTTAATATTATTAGTGATGTGCCAAGTCGAATCAACTGATTCGAATCATTCGAATCAAGCCTTTAACGACTTGATTCGAATCAGATTTTACTTGATTCGAATCAACTCGTATCAAGCCGCGAAATATTTACTGTGATAAAACATGTGTGAACACAAATTTTCATAAATATAAAAAAAATGTTTTGATTTAATTCAATATTATAATAATATAAAAAATATTAATAATAAATATAAAAAATAATAATAATAAATATAAAAAATAAATCTTGAATTAAATCATGCGAGTCACCCGCTTAAATGTATCACCCGACTCCAATTTATATGACTTTAACCGCATTCAAGTCTTTATGAATTCATCCGAGTTCCTATGACTCAAACCGACTTATCCCGACTTCAAGTCGTTATGAATTGATTCGAGTTCCTATGACTCAAACCCGACTTATCCCGACTTCAAGTCGTTATGAATTGATTCGAGTTCCTATGATTCAAACCGACTTATCCCGACTTCAAGTCGTTATGAATTGATTCGAGTTCCTATGACTCAAACCGACTTATCCCGACTTCAAGTCGGTATGAATTTATCCGAGTTCATATGACTCAAACTAAATCATACCGACTTGAGTTCGAAACATGTGTCCGTGTTTAGCGTATCGACTTATGGAGATGCAGTGCGTATGGGTCTTGAGTGTTTGTTTATTTTTGACTAAGCGCTGAGAGCAAATTTGTTCATGAAATATCAAAAACTCATTTAGATAATAAATACGCGATTTAGATTTTAATTATTATCAAAATAAACTACACAACGAGTTTTATACACATACAAAATTATTATATTTTAATTATGCAAGTAATGGCAAATTCACACAAATGAAATAATATCAATCTTTACAGTAGTGGATTGAATTTTAAGTCATTCGTAAGACGTTAGATTCAGCTCCCTGTTTAGATTAGATCTAAACAATCAATAATATACACATGCATTCGTTCAACGTAAGATTAAGAATATTGTTTTATATGCTTTAGTGATAGAGAAGTGTTTGGTTATATTTTACTGTAAATTCACTTGAAAGATTAGTTATATTTGTAGCTAGTTTATTATTATATATATAGTATAAATGTATTCATCTCTGCACTTTTTGGAATTAATTGCTTACTAAATTAATTATTTCACTTATAAAATTATTAAAATGATATTATTTCTTCTCTTGAATTATAATTGTTCATTCGAATTGATTCGAATCATGATTCGAATCAGGTTTTTTTCTGATTCGAATCACTCGAATCAGGAAATTTTCGAGTCGGCACATCACTAAATATTATATATGGGTGTTTTATTTACGTAGTCATCATTCATATATGTTTTTAATAAATCCAAATATGTCACACTAATTTTCTTATGAACTGACATAATAATAGGGTCTTCGGACTGGAATAACTTGTTTAAATTCGTGAAGTTAGGTAAAATCCACAATAAAAAATGATAGTAAGGCTTTATTATGGGATTTCGCAAGTATTGAAGTATTCTTGCAACTTCAGATTCATTTTCATCTGTTTCATCACTATCATCTTTCCTCCTTTTACTCATCTTCCTGTATTCCTCTTTATAATTTAATTGATTGAAATATAAAATTAATGCCTCCCACTCGTTCTACCACCATAATAACCATGATAACCAGCGGGTCTGAGCAGGTTGTAAAACTTTATGCTGTTTCAAATCCAAAATCGATTGAATTCTTTTGTATGCATATTGGCGTTTTGAGCTCACTGAAAAATGATTATGAACCAGCTGTGCTAATTTTTCACATTCTGGAGGTAATTTAGAACAAGCATTACTTGCCCAGAGACGTAATGAGTGACACAGGCAATTCATTATGTAAATTCCAGGACATCTC